TCTTGTCTATGCGGGGTGTAGATGTTTGCGGGGGGAGTTATTCTGTGTGTGTCTGTGTGACTACTTTTTCCATTCTTGATGCAAATAGTGGGGGTGATGCTTGTACCTGACTCTTAGTGATTCGAAGAATGGGTTTCTAATCTTTCCTTTTGAGATTGATATTGGGGGAGGAATAGAACAAGAAACAGAAAAGAGGAAAGATTAGATGGAAGCAGTTAAGTTGTGCTGATTTATTGATACTCCAGTCTTCCAAACTAATTCAGAACCTGAGGCTGTGGTATGAAATGATCACATAGCTGCATGTTTGACTTCCATGCACTGCTAAATACAATATCTGGGTGTGAATGATGATCTGTTCTTAAATTCTGCTCCCTGGTTGATGTGGCCAATAATTCATAAATCAAGAGACGAGAAATTTGCGAAATTGAATCGGCAGGAGCTTGGGTCAGGTAAGGCCGGAGAGGGAAGTGCCAATTGGAAAGAGGGAACAAGGAGTTTAGGAATTATTGGAATCAGAATTCTATGGAGCAGGGACTGGGACTGGCTAGGTGGCTGGGAAAAGTCAGATTGTGGGAAGGAGCTAGTGCTAGGGCAGCTCCGTTCTGGGCAGAAGTACTGGTCCCCCCAGAACAGTCTCTTTTCAGTTGGAGATTGAACCAGGGACTCTGCAATTAGTCCATTCGGTGGCTGACATCAGATATTTGAAGTCTGTTGCAGAATGTATCAACCTTATCTTCCACTTTTCTACAGCGAGTAACCCAATTTTTGTGATCACTGAAATAGTGTAGCTTAAGTGGTTGAGGTCTGTGGATGTTTGGTAGTTCCAGCCATGCTCCTGCTTTGTACTGGTGTCCATATGCTATCACATATGGGAACTCATCTCTGGCTATTTTCTGTTTCATGCTGTGACTTGCTATTAACAACCAAAGGGAACTAGAAAATAATGCATTTTTTAATTTCATTCATGCGTTATTTTCTAGTTCCCTTTGGTTGTTAATAGCAAGAGACAGAAAATAGCCAGTGATGACTGGATGTATTTATTCCTGTAGAACATGACAGGCTTCACTGTTTTGTTCTACTCTTGCCTCAGGATGCACATCTTGCGGAATGTATAGTCTTAAAAGCATCCGTTCAAGGACAGTTGTTAAGTATTATTTTTTCCTTTCTTTGTGTGTGGTACCACTTAATCAAGGGTTGAATAATGAACACAACTTCTAAATTAAATGTTTTATTATTCTGCAACAATGAGTGTGAATGCTTCTGTTTTTTGCACTGCAACTAAGTGAGTTGGCATTCACTCTTTTTTTTTAAAATGAGATGCAGTGAGCATAAGGTAAAAGATGCACAATCATTTCAGATATTCTTTAGGATGTCAGGTCCAATCTTTAAAAAAATATTACAAGTGCTGTCAAATATGAAGTGCAGCTCCTGTTGGCATCGGCTTTTCACTGCACTATGGATGTTCAGAACAGTTCAAAGTCCAGGAGCCTCCAATGGGACATTCAGACCATGAGGAACTTGTTTCTTTTTGTTCTGAGGCTAAGTGCTTAGGTTCTTCACCTGGCATTGCAAAAGATCTCTATGAATGAGTGCAGGAGAGATTCAAATCTCCAGTGTAGTACTTGCTTCTTTTAACTATTTTTTGTTTTTATTTTTATTCCTTGTAATCTTTAGTTTATTTCTCCTCATGTCTTCCAGCTTCTGGAAGCAATCAGACCCTGAGTTTCTGCTGAAGTTCAGACTCTAGATTTCAGGCTTTCTGAGAGCAGAATTTGAATGCCGCTTGGCGTGATGGGGTCCAATTTGAGTATTTCAGTGCAACTATAATAGTTTTTGCAGTTTTCCTACTAGATAATGGAACTTTTCTTATACAGAGCTGATGTTAAATGCCCTTTGCGTCGTTTAGTTTTTTCAGAGTTCCTCCTACTTTTGCAAACAACAGCTAATGAGTCAGTAAGAAATAGGAGTGTTTGACAGAAGTATAACAGTAATGACCATTGATAATTCAAAAGGGGAATGGATTTGTGATGGAGGAATTCTTGCTGTACTCACTATGTATATTTAAGCATATAATGTTTTCCTAAAACTAAGACTTGGCAAAATCAGCTTACTTAGCTGAATCAAGAGAAACATATGTTTCCTGCTGTTCTTATTAGTCAGTGTTAAAATGTTACAGTAGTGTGGAAAGATGTAAGAACTATTTTTTTCCCCCATCCTTCTCTAAAATACTTGAAAAGAAAGTTTTTCTTTCATCAGATATTTATTGGCATTTGCATATTTGTAGTAGTAAATATAGACTTCATTTTCTGAATTGACCCCTCTTTCCTGCTTTTTGGAAACCTGCTGTCACGTGAATCTGTCATATTCTAGCTATTTAAATAGTTGCATTTGTTGCTCTTCATGGGCAGAATCTGACTGTCAGACACCAAACAAAACACAGAAATTTAGTGTTGAAACAGACTCTTTAAACAACCAAGTCAACTTAAAGTACTAAGTGCTATGTGAGTTGTAATTATGTAGACTTACGTATTCGCCATGTGGCTGATCGTTAGTGTGTTTCATATGTCTCTGTACTTCATCAATTTTATAGTTTGTAGGGATACAGTTGTTTTCTTTAAGGTAGACTATGTTCTGAGTAATTTTAGTCGTCTAGCTTTGTTTTTGTCTTCTGCATTGAAAAAGTGTATTAGTTCCCAGAATTGATTATTTAAATGCATTAAAAAGCCCTCACAAGTTGGACTGAAACACAGGCCTGAAGACTTTAAAACCTCCAGAACTAGAAAACTGAGGAACAAATAACATACATTTAGAATCACCTATTTGGAAGACTTTTTTGGTTCAGTTTACAGTGGTTCATGTATCAAGGCTCCAGCTAGCCTCACAGGTCAGTATAAAGTTTGCCCTTGTGTTCTTGCTGGAATTTTCTGATCTTCAGATGGTGTGCTTCGCAATCTCTTTTTCAGTGACTGAGTATTGTTGGACTGGAATTTCACTGTTTTTAATGGTTTTTGCTCTCATCTTTTGACTCTTCACGACCTTGTATGAAAAACTAATGGAGATGAAGATATGAAATCCTGCTGTCAACACTCTTTTTGCACATTTTTCTCTAGTTCCTTCATTTTTCTTTTCTCCTACCCTTCCTGTTTGTATTCATGCCCAACGTACTTGGCTTTATTGCAAAGAGTAAATAGCTGGCAACTCTTGTTTTCAGTGTTGCTTTAGTTATGTGTAATCCTTCATGCCTGACTGTTCTAAGGAGCAGGAGAAGAATTGCTATTTGAAGGACTAAATTCAACCATTTGCTACTCTGATATAGTGCCGGATGGCAGTCCGTAGAATGGCTACCATTTGATGTTATTCTGACAAGTCACTTGTTAATATTGAAACACCAATGCCTGTTGATGTGAGAAGTTGCACGTTCAGTGACCAGAGGCATTAATGACACTTACACACGTTCTTTTTAAGTATTATCATCTCAAATTGTGATTTATGAAAGGTTTACTGTCTTTCAAAGTTGCTAGCTTGAGAGAGAATAAGCTGAGAGCTCATGACTTATCATGTGGAAGAAGCTATGATTTGAGAGTGTTTGTGGAAGGGGTGCCACACCAAATGCATGAAGCAAACACTAGCATATTTTCTGCTCTGCTAGTTTATACTGCCCTTAAATAATTCAAATCTAAATAAATTCAAATTTAGGCCAGTGACCTTACTTTCTACAGTCTTGTGTATTGAATTATGAAACATCTTATTTTGTTTTTTTGAAAAAAGTTCATCTGTTTGATCTATGCTAGTAGGTTACAGCTGTCAAGATTGTTAATGCTGTAATGGATGATGACTCTAAGAAACTAGATTTTATTTCTCAGTACCTTAGTAGTTTTAATTTTTTTAGTTATAGTAAGTATATATTTGTGTAGATTAAATAAGATTAATGTTTCATACTGAGGTTTTAAATTCAGCTGTCTTTGTATGTATATTTAAATGTATGTAAATACTGATCTCAGCCTTTATTAACTGTAATTTGTTTTCTAACATTGAACTAATTGAATATTGAAATTAAGAAACTATAGATACAAATTTACTATTTACTTGTTTATATACTTATTTAATGTATTTTATATACATACAAGTCTTTGTAGATTTGTTTTGTGTATTTGTTTAGATGTAACAAACTATATTGAATAAGTGGAATTCTTGATTTCTTAAAAAACCTTCCTCTCATCCATTCTTGTATTCTGAAGATGTGAAAACCTTAAATTTAACCATAAAAATGATACGTATGGAAGCAGGCATTACATGGTATACATACAGTTTTTCTTAATATGAAGTTATTCTCATCTGTTTGTGGGTAATTATGCTCTTGTACAAACCAAGCCTACCAGTCTCTAGCATAGACAAATGCATCATTCCTGAAGTTACTTTCTCAGTTAAGCCTTAAGCAGTCCTCCTTACTGTATAGTTCTTTGGAGGAAAAAAGAACATCCTTTTTCTATTTCTGCCAGTTCAGTGCCAAAAGCTTCTCTGATTTAGCTTTTGTCTATGGGACACTGTTTCCTCAGCTCCGTTTTTTTTTTTTTTCTCTGAAATGCTTTTACTGTTGTTGAAGATTTTGGAAGTAGTTTTCGATGGGGAAAATGTAAAGTTAAAGCGCTCTTCTGTTATGCTCTTTGTTTGGAGTATGGCTGTGGAGTTCAGTGGCCTAAATGGCAGGATAGGGTTTTCTTCCCTTCTCTTTTGAGAGCTGTTCTCTTATAAATCAACTGTGTGACAGATGGAGTTTCTCTTAGGCTGTGTTAATCTAGGTTTGTAAGAAGCTCAGAACGGAATGATGTCATTTAGGGGACAGAGAAGGAAAAATGGGTATTTACAGTCTTTTTAAAGTGCAAATTAAAACTTTTTTTAGATTGAAACAACAGTTGAGTTTTGTGTGAGCTAATGATGTAAGTGTTGACTCCTTGCTTTTGTATATGTGCACACATTTACAGAACTATTTTCTTTTCTAGGATCCCTCAGTAACGCAAGTAACGAGAAATGTTCCTCCAGGATTAGATGAGTACAATCCTTTTTCTGATTCAAGAACGGTAAGCACATCTATTTCTTAAGCGTGCTGTTAATCCTTCTGGGTAAGAAAACTGGTAAAATCTGTGAAGGACTAGCTAGAAACAATGGAAGATCTATAAAGATAGATGATCCCACAATCATCTTCAGAGGGAGTCATCCCCTGAGAGTCTTTGGAGGATTCATTGGGTAGATCTGGCTTAAGTGAGCTTTGAACTCTCAAGGAAGAGTAGTTTCCTGAGAGGGAGCCGAAACAGAATTTCATTTTTCCCATTTAATAAGATTTCTAGTGGCCTGTCCTTTATGCTTTTCTAAATTTTGTCCTTGCTTTACAGCATGTGTGAATGTGGCACACTTCCTCCAAGTCTTGCTTTTGATTCCCGTTTCACCTACAAAAGTGCAGTTCAGAATAAGGAAAAACACTGCATTTAACAGTTCACAGGCAACGAGTGGTTGTGCTGTACTGAAAGGAATAACTTAAGGCTGAGAGACGCATTGGTTTCCAGCCAATGTCAGAATTAATGTTAATTCACATTACTGTTACAGCTACACTGATTAGAAAGACATGAATCTGTCCCGGCAGTAATATTTGGGGAAGAGACAAAAAAAGATGCTATATTCTGAGGCAGGTTGAATTTCAGGGTTGATACGAGTACCTTGTAGTAATCTCTCTGTGAGAAGTAAGGTCTCTGTAAAAACAATAAATTCAGTTCCCATAGCCAAATGTGCATGGTATATGGTAGCTCTTATCCTGTGAAGACTGGATATCAGTGAAGTGCTCACAATACAGGTCTGAGTAACTAGTGATTGAGTTACATCCTTATAAAAGATGAAGTTGTTGACCATTCATCTGTCTTTCTGTCAGTGGCTCCTCAGTCCTGTCCAGGATGTAAAATGATCAGATCCCTCTCTGCTGTGACCAAATTCTGAGCATTGGGCTAGGCAACAAATAGCTTTGGGACAGGTATGACAAAACAAAGTGCCAACTCATAGGTTGGAAGGGACCTCAGGAGGTCATCTCTTTCAACTCGCTGTTCAAAGTGTGTCCAACTACATCAGGCTGCTCAGTGTCTTGTCCAGATGAGTTTTGAATACATCTAAGGGTGAAGATCGCTTGACCTCCTTGGGAAACCTGTTTGGGTGTT